GGGTACACTGTCACAGCCTCCTACTGGGAAGCTGTCTAGCGCAACACTCTCAGATGCACTGGTACTTATGTTGCCCATGAATGCCTCAGGAACCCGTTGACTGGGCTGGAACAAAGCGTTATGAGGCCGTCTTATGTTGGATCAGTGCCGGAGTGGTGTCGGTGCTTCAAGGAGCTCATCTCTCTTGTGATAGTAGGGTTACCATCTGCCCGGGTTTCCCCGGACATGTCCGTCTTTCTTAGCTTTAAATGGCCGTCCGGGGCGGATTTCTAATAAGGTAGAAATGTCCGGAATTTCCCCCTTCCCCTCATGCAGAGTGCGGCGCGGCTGATTGGACGGCTGTGCCTGATTGAAAGCCACTCGCAGCCACTGGGGCCTCTAGCAGCCAGAGTCCCTCCTTCTCCCCCGCTCCCTCCTCCCCCGCACAGCAGCGCCTTATCTGTTTGTCTGCACGTGGAGCCCGCAGCTCTCCCTCGGCCTGGTGCGGGGGGGCAGGCAAGGGACAGGGAACGGGGGGGTTAGATCGCTCGGGGGTTCGGGGGGGGCTGTCAGGAGAAGGGGGTGTAGAGAGCGGTTGGGGCAGGCAAGGGACAGGGAACGGGGGGGTTGATCGCTCGGGGGTTCGGGGGGGGCTGTCAGGAGAAGGGGTGTAGAGAGCGGTTGGGGCAGGCAGGGGACAGGGAACAGGGGAGTTATATTGGTCGAGGGTTCTGGGGGGCTGTCAGCAGAAGGGGTGTAGAGAGCGGTTGGGGCAGGCAAGGGACAGGGAACGGGGGGGTTAGATTGGTCGGGAGTTCTGGGGGGTGCATAACTTGAGCAGGTGCAGAACTTTTGGATTCTTTTAAGGGAGGAAGCCAAACAGAGTCACGCCCCATCCTAAAGTGTAGGATCTAGGGCTGGCAGTAATGCATCCCTGCCCGATGTGGGGTCGGAAATCTCTTCATTGCCCGAACAGGCCAAGGAAGCACTACTGATTTCTTGGCCATGGAAACAAGTCCTCTCCCAGGCCCTTGTCCTAGGTGCTGGTCTCCAGCATGGGGAAGCAGTCACCTTTTGCTTGCTCTAGGCAGGTGGATAGTTTGGTTTCTGCCAATATCGGGGCCAGGTGCCTTCTGTTTGGCCATAGTTTCTAACTGTTAGATTAGCCCACTGTTACCTTCTGGTTTTTGTTTGTTTGTTTGCATCTTCCTCTGAAGCATCTGGCACTGGCCGCTGTTGGAGAAAGGCTCCTGGACTACATGGAGCTTGGTTTTGATTCCATCTGGCAATTCCTATGTTCCCTTTGTTTTATAGGTTCCTGGTGAGCTGAGGAGTTATTCCTTTAGCAAAGCAGGGTCCCAAGGGGAAGAGCACACGGTCTCTCAGCCATTCGGTCAGTGGCATTGTAGCTAGGCATTACTTCCAGACGGTGCAAAGATACCACAGCCGATCCATCCACCAGGTCTCCTCCCTTTTCTCTCTCGGAAGGAGGTAAGTTAGCCCTGACCTGCTCACTGAGTCTAACCTTTGAGAGGCTGGAAATGCCTCCTGTTGGTGGACGTGAAAGATGGAGATGAAATATAAAGGGCTACTTCCAGATGTCCCCATTCAAACAAACTTCTCTTGACACTGATGGGAGTTTGCTTGACTAAAACTCCAGGCTTTGGCCCTTTGAGTTCAGAGGAATTGCTGGCATTCATAGCCTAGAAATCTGGCCAGAGCACCACAATGGGAGCTGCTGAGCATTAAGCTAACTTGGTCAACCTGGTCCAGATTGCAGGCCCTGTTGGGCTCTTGTGAATCTGGCCCTGAGCTCTTTGGAAAACGTGGTCTGTGGATTTCCAGGAGAGCTGTGGGCGCTCAGCCCCCCTGAGGAGTCAGCCTGCAGGCTTGGCATTGCACCTTTTCTTCTAATTTATTTTATTTTGCAATGGTTTTTTTAAAAACAAAGTTCTGTGTCAGTACAGAGCTGGCTCAAGGGGCCTGCAATCTAGAGCTGAGTGGTTACATTGCAGCAAATAATTGATTCAACATATATTTGGTGATTTTAATGAAATAATAATAATAAAGACCTCACTGTAATCTAGCACTTTTCATCTGTAGTTCTCCAAGTGCTTGACAAAGCACAGTATCATTATCCCCATTTTACAGGTGGGGAAACTGAGGCACTGAGAGGGACGACGTGACTTGCCCAAGATCACCCAGCAGGTCAGTGGTAGAGGTGGGAATAGAACCCAAATCTCCTAAATTCTCTATCCACCAGGTCGCACTGAGGACGCCAACAGCTGTGAGACTGCTAGACTCTGTGTTATTGAGATTAAAATAATAAGGAGGCTGATCCAAGGGTTTAGGCACCCTAATGTCATTAATTATTCGGTAAACCCAATTAAATTTAATCTCACCACCATTAAAATCAGTTCCACGGGAAC